GCCTCCTACAAAGGTACAAAAACCTGTGGTAGACTTGCAATCGAGGGAATTGCCCGCCTAGTCAACATCTGTATAACCAAAGATGCAAGTGTGACATTGTTGCGCATAATAATTCCTCTACCAACAGAACCCTTAAGGTAACGAAGCACACCATGAACAATCTTCAAATGATCCATGGTTGGAGAGTGCATAAACTGGCTAACAAGATTGACAGCATGTGATAGATCAGGACGCGTGATAATCAGATAAATGAGTTTGCCAACCATCATTTGATAGTAACATATATTTGGAATGACATCACCGTGATTTTTTAGCTTCAAGTTGCTATCCAAGGGAGTGTGAGTAGGCTTGCAATCTATCATATTTGCTTCGTGAAGAATGTCAATAACATACTTGCGTTGGTTGAGAAAGAAGCCCTTGTGAGAGTGCAATCTTGATTCCCAGAAAATATTTTAGAGTGCCAAGATCTTTGATTGCAACCTTGTTGTTGAGATACTGTTTAAGAGCATTGATCTCTGACATCTTATCACCTGTCACAATTAGATCGTCAACATATATTAGCACAATGAGTTTACCCACTGAGCTAGAATGGACAAATAGAGAGGAATCCGCAGTGCTTCGCTGAAAACCAACTCTTTCTAGAACATGACTTAGCTTGGCATACCATGCATGTGGACTTTGCTTGAGACAATAAATGGATTTATGAAGTTTGCACACCATTTCTGGGTTATTTGATTGAGGGTGACCTCGGGGAAGCTTCATGTAAACCTTTTCTTCAAGTTCACCATGCAGAAAAGCATTTTTAACATCCATTTGAAAGAGAGGCCATGCATTGTTGATTGCAACTGACAACAGCACCCTAACAGTGTTCATTTTTGCCATGGGAGCAAGTGTCTCGTTATAGTCGATCCCATAGGTTTGTGTCAATCTTCGAGCAACCAAGCGAGCCTTATGTTTTTCAACCATGCCATCTGAATGGAAATTGGTTTTGTACACTCATCAGCTCCGCACTGCCTTTTTCCCTTTTGGCAATTTCACTATGGTCCATGTGTGATTTTCATGAAGAGCTTGAAGCTATTCTACCATGGCAGTTCTCCACTCATTATGAAGATTAGCTTCTTGAAAACTTTGTGGTTCACGAGCTTCATTAATAGCACTTAAGAACGCAGCAAAACATGGTGAGACTTTGCTATAATCAATAACATTAGTCAAAGGATACTTGGTAGTGTATGTCACATAGTCATGTAACTTGGAAGGAAGTTTCCTCTCACGAGTAGGATTTCGATGAACTAGACGAGAATGGACTGCAGGCAACTGAGTAATGTCATTGTTGGAAGGAGTAGAGAATTCCTCTTTAGGATGTGTCACAGAGTTAAGGGTTTCTAGCATCCAGTTCATGCTTACCAGAAATGCATGTTGCATCTTCTTCATTTGGATATGGAGTTGGAAATAAATCTAGTAAATGCTCCCCCTGTCTAGAATCATCCAATGGTTGTGAGAAGTAAGGAACTTTTTCTTCAAATTTAACTTTCCTTGAAACAACCATTTTTCTAGTTATTGAATTGTAACACTTGTAACCTTTTTGGGTGGATGAATAACCTAGAAAGACACATTTGGTAGCCCTTGGGTCTAGCTTGTCACGATTTTGTGCTTGAATGTGAACAAAGCATGTACACCCAAAGACTCTCAAATGTGATAAATTGATCTTTCTGTCTTTCAAGACCTCATAAGGTGATTTAAAGTTCACCACCTTACTAGATAATCTATTGATGAGATATGTTGTAGTAAGAACTCCCTAAGACCAAAATTTCTTAGGCACATAAATGTGAAACATAAGAGTTCTAGTCTTCTCAAGTAGATCTCTATTCTTCCTCTCGGCTACCCCATTTTGTTGGGGAGTTCCAACACAACTTGTTTGGTATAGTATACCATGCATGCTTAGATATTGTGACATGTTATGAGACATATATTTAGTGCCATTATTTGATCGTAAAACATGAATTTTTGAAACAAATTGTGTGGTCACAAGTGTATTAAAATCTTGAAAAACATTCATCACTTCATTTTTAAATTTCAAAAGGTACAACCAAGTGATCCCTGTGAAATCATCCACAAAAGTTACAAAGTATTTGTATCCATCAAAAGACTCTACAATTGGTCCCCAAACATCAGAATGCACGATTTCAAAAGGATTACTAGCCCTAGACAAATAGGAGGTAAATGGTAATCTAGTAAACTTATAAAAATGACACACGTCAAAAGAGCTTGTAATTTTGTACAAGTTTGGGAACAAAGTGGATAAGACTTTTTCAGAAGGATGTGCTAGTTGTTGATGCCAAAGCTGTTGTTCTTGAGCTAAGCTTGAAGTGACTTGAAAAACCCTGGGAACTTGAGTAAGCTTGGAAAGGTAGTAGAGACCATTTAAGAAAAATCATTCACCAATCGTCTTCTTGGTGACTAAATCCTGAAAAATCACATTTTTTTTTAGAGAAAATGGCAAGACAATTTAATGAGTTTGTGATCTTGCCAATAGATAAAAGTTGAAAAGGGAATGAAGGTACATAACGAGCCTCAGACTCGACGTCACTTGAGATTAAATGTGTTTTTCCTTTTCCTACAACCATAGCACCCTTGCCATTAGCAATTGACACTTGAGATGGAGTTGAAAGTTTTTCAAAGTTATGCAAGTTTTAGACTTGTTAGTCATATGATCAGTGGCTCCTGAATCTATAATCCAATAATCATGCACATTACCTACTCTCAGAGAAGTTGAGAAAAAGTGTAAGATACCAGAGATATCTTGTTGTATCACATTTTCATTCTCAGCCAGAAATCTAGCAAATTGTCCTAGTAAGGCGGTTTGATTGTTGTCACACTGATTCGTTGGTCCTTCACTATCTCCATGACCTTGTTTCTTATGAAGGAAGGCAGCAAATTCATTGATTAAAGTGGTTGGATTGGAGGTGAACTTCAGTGCTTCCTCGGATGAAGTGATGGCAACATGATTTGCCTTGTAAGAAGAGTTGTGTGAGCCCTTAAAAGAACCTTTGTTGTTGTCCATAAGGAACTTTGGCCTTAGCTCTGGATGAAGAATCCATCAATGATCTCTTGAATGTCCACCAGCATCACAGTGACTACATTTCAAACCAGATCTTCTTCCTTTGTAGCCCTTCTCTTCACCAAGTTTGTGGTTAGAAAAATATACCCTAACTTCTGGTATATTTACCTTAACTTCCGGTATATTTACCTTAACTTCCACGATCATGACTTTTCTGCGAACTTCTTCCCTTTGAATCGTGGCACACACACTTAAGAAAGAAGGTAGTTCTGGATTCATGAGGATGTGGCTTCGAAGGTCTTCGTATTCAGGACTCAGCAAGCTTGCTAGAAGCTGGAATAACTTATCCTCCTCAGCTCTCTTAGTTAACACGGTAGCATTTATGGTGTGTAGTCGGTACACATTCAACTCATTCCACATAGTGGTCAACTTTCCAAGGTGTTGCACAAATAAATTTCCTTCTCGTTGCAGGCCAGCAATATCCTCCTTTAACTGAAACACTCAAGTTGCATTATTTTGATTCCCATACATTTCCTTGAGATTTTTCCAAAGAGTCAAGGAGGATTCAGCATAACTGAAAAATTCTGCAATCTTACGATCCATAGAGTTGAGTAGCCACGACATGACCAACTGGTCTTTGCACAGCCAAGCATCGTAATCTGGTGAGGACTTCTCAGGCATTGGAATAACACCATTGACATAACCAAGCTTTGATCGTCCTCCCAAGGGAAGAGTGAATGCTCTCTCCCAAGGAAGATAGTTAAACTTATTTAGTAAGACATAACTAAGACGTTGATTTGGGTTAACATCAACGTCTGAGCGAGGTGATAATGGAGCAACATGAGAGCTATCTCCTTCACCATGTATGAACTTTCTTCAGCCATGTTTGAAGAACAAAAAAAGCTCAAAAAATCTCTCAAGATAGTACACAGAGACAGGCTAATTAGGAGTACACAGAGACAGGCCAATTAGGGTCACTGCTCTGATACCATATTGGAGTTTTCAAGTTGTATATTCATTGTAAGGAAAAATATTACAAGACCTAACCAATATATGTATATCGAAGAGAAGGAACAAGCCCACTATCCCTCATTGATTTAAGCCTAAAAGCTAACAACCAAAAGTAAACAACCACTAGATACACATCCCTTGATTAAGGGGATTGACAACAAGAAACACTATTGGTGACATCAATGTACAAGAGGGCAGAAAACAGCCCATTCTACACGGTACATCAACCCATCCCCTTAAAACTAGGTTAACAACAAGTACACTTCTTCTAATAGTTTGGTAACTACTTTGTTTTTAGTTTTCAATTTTAATATTTTATGTGATTAATAGAGGAAAAGTGTGTAGGAGAAAGGAAGAATTGAAAAGACTAAAGGAAGAAGTGGTGAAATAAATGTCAAATGAATGTGTATATGAAAAATGAAAACAAAATAGTTATAAAATGAGACATTCTTGAGTGATATTTTGTTGTAAACATCAATAAATTTTACTATTATAAAGCCAGGCTCTCATTTTGGGGTTATAAACTTGGACAAAAAAATATTTGAACAAATAAAGCATCAAATGTGCAAACAAATAAAGCACCAAAAGCACATTTGATGAATACTCGTTTATAAACTCATGAATACAACTAATCTTCTCTTCATGTTATACTAGTGTAAAATACCATTCAACTTATTAATTGAATGATAATATCTGCAAACCTGTTTTCCCTCTTCGTGATAGAAAAACATCTACTCTTAGAGGTGGGCCCATGCAAATCTAAATGGACTAATATTTTATAAACACGTCTCGAAAATTAACGAGGAAAGTTCCACCAATGTGAAACTGGAATAATAGGCAAATTACAAAGCGTGAAGCAATGAGAAATAGGTATTGGTGATGGACCATTGACTTTGATCAATCCATATATATAATATTAACTTCTCACCCAATCCACCAAAACGGTGTCTCCAAATTAACATTTAACCGGAACATTTCTAAAAGCTAGAGTTCCACCAATCCTAAAAGCCTAGAAACCACTTTCTCTGGAAGTGCTTTTAACAAGCAGATTCTCATTCTACACATTTTTGTTAACTTTCTAACCTTGTTTTCTCAGTCTTCAGCAAAACTCCATCTCAACAATACCTTTGTTTTTTCGTCAATGGCCATGTCGATCGGATGCTCAATAAGTTCTCCTTGCAGTTCTAGACGTTTGCAGGCTTCAGTTTTTAGACCTAGTTGTCTGAGTACTAATCACGGGGACAGATGTCGGTATCTCGGAAATCGGAACTTCTTGCAGACCCTCGTGAAGATCCAAAATGGTAGCCAGAAAAAGATGTAAGTAAATTAATCCTAGCTATATTTCTTCAACTCTATGGATTTCCAGTTAAATTTGATTATCACGGATAAATAGTACGAAACTTTATTTGCAGGGACGTGGTTGTCAATGGTGTGGAACCAGGAGCTCCTCTTCCTTCTGGTCCTTCCGGTAATAATTGGTATGTCGATGATCTTCTGCTACTTGATCTCTTTGAAATGTTTGTCAAATTGATTGCCCTCAGGCTTTTCTTTTAATTTATGGTTTTGTATCAGACCAGCGCATGATTAAAGTTGACATTATACAAATTACAAATGCAGGAAACTATGGCTTGTGGGGATGCTTTTCTCAGTAGTTATACCCTTTTGGAAAAACAAATGGTGGCCATTGCTAAAATTCAAAGGTAAGGAAATATTTAATATCATTATCATCATCATTGTCACACCTCGTCACCATCCTCGTTACTTTTTTCTTTGATTTGTAAGAAGAAAAGATTCGATAATTTTGTTTTTCAAAAACTGTAGAGATATATTACTAGATCAATAGTTATTTTTCTGCAAAGGAATTGATTAATTGATTTATAATTAAAAATTATTTTGATGTAATATTCTCCATCCATATAAACATGACACCCCCACTATGTACAGAGACATTTTCAACGGCGCTGGATACAGTGGAAGATGTGGCAGAAATGGTAGAGAAGGTGGCCGGGGAAGTGGAGAAGGTGGCCGATGACATTGCCGATCATCTTCCAGAAGGAAAACTTCAAAGGGCAGCAAGGATTGTTGAGAGTGTGGCAAGAGAAGCAGCCAAGGATGCTGCGCTAGCAGATGATCTCATTGAGCAGGTAATCTTTCTTTATACCTAATCCTCTTATATATCTTGATTTCCACGATTAAAAGTGAACCACCATATATAATAACATTATCTAGTTAGTACTTAGTACCAATCAAAAGTTTTATTTCATAATTAACGGGTGAGGATCACATGTTTTTGTGAATTCCGTGTTTAGTAGTTGTCAGCATCAGTCATTATAAATAAAATTTTGTTGATATTAAGAATTGAAAATGGGGATGTGCATAACAAAACAGAGGACTATATGCAGTAAGGAAAATGTCAATTAAATATTATGATTTCATTATAATTTAGTTCAGATCCAGCCAATGTGTTTATTCAAAGAAAGCAGACGTGGGCGTTGCCAACTTGTTGATAAATCTTACATCAAACGTTATTACAATTTTATGTGTGTCCATTTGTGATCGAAATGTGCTGTAATTTGTTTTTTCTGTTTCACCTTTGAATATAACATTTATTCTTGTCCAATTGACCAATTAGGAGATGCCATTAATCTTCTAATTTTTCTAAAACAGAGCTTAATTAAGTACTGTTTAAGTAAATTGGTCTTTATGAAACGAATCAATCTGTCCTTGTATGTGTGTCTCTGTCATGATGCTTTTGGAATATTAGAACATGAAGCCACTCGTTTAGTAATCGTTCACCATTTCTTAAACAAAGGCCGCTTCCTTCCTTCCCTTTCCCTATTACATATCACATCGCATTTGTTTAGTATCTTCAATAATTTTTAAGCAATTAAATAGAAACTCTTTCTTTTTTTTTTGTTAAAAAGAATAGAAATTCTATTTGTAGCCCTAAGTTCGTAATGTAATTTTTTTAGGCTTATTTTACACTTCCTAGAATTCGATTTTGATCTCACTTTATCCCCAGTAACTAAAAAGTCATTACTTTACTCCCTATTCTGTCCTGAGACTCAAAATTTGCTTCACTTTAACTTGTGGACTCTCTCTTTTTCCTGAAACTCAAAAATCACCCCTAAAACATATGTGGGACCCACCACCCATAAGATTAACCACATATGTCAATGAATTTGATTATAAGTCTCCACTATGAGTTAGCATTAAACAATCAGAAAATACTAAGTTTAAAAGAAGAAACTTGAAATTTTTTGGGTTGATGTGCTTGAGTTAGAGATGAAAAAATAAAAAATAAATCGATTAGTTTGGTGCACTCAAATCAAATCAACATAACGGAATTAATAGAGTTAAGACAATTTGAAGTGAATTTTGAGTTTTATAGAGAGAAATGACGACTTTTGAGTTTTAGGGTGCAAAATGATATCAAAATTGAATTTCAAGGGGCAAACTGAAGCAATTTTGAGTTTTTGAGAGTAAAAATGACAACTTTTGAGTTACATGGAGCAAATGACATTAAAATCGAGTTCTTAGGGGTGTAGCTAAAAATAAGCTTATTTTTCTTTCTCATTTTAAAAAGTTTAAGATAAAGAGAACCAACCTCAATTTTACTTTCAAAGGCCATGGTGAAGAAATGTCATGGTGAGGTGAAACCATGACGTCCGACCACAGCTTTGGAGAATAAGTTAAACTCAGAACTTCCAAAATAAAGGATACATTCGTTGAGTTTAGATGTGAATCATGTGATTGATGTTAATCGTTCCAAAATTTTGCAGGTTGAGGGTGTCGAAAAGGAAGTGGACTCTGTCATTGAGCAAGCCAATCAGAAAATCAAAGAAGAAGATGATACAGAAAATCAGGCAGCAAAAATCAAAGACGCGACGGAGATTAAAGCTAAGATAGCAGAGATCAAAGAAGTGAATGCTGTTAAAAACGAGACAATAAAAAGCTGAGGCAGCCTGCTAACTCAAAGTAGCAACTCATGTATTTTATTTTATGGAAAACTAGATTTTAATTCTTAAATAAAATGAAGTTCAAAAAAATGTTTTATACAAGATTAAAAATAATTTTAGTCCTTAGATTCTATTTAATGTCACTATATGCATTTAATATCTCTCTTTTTTTTATTTATAATTTTATGGTGTTCACTGTTCATAAATAAAATTTTAAGTTTATATTATAAATTTTAATTCTCATTATGGTAAGTGTCCTATATAAGAAAATATTTTCGTAGAGATTTTTCGGTACACTTCTACTTTTTTATATTGTCTTATGTGCCCCTAATTCATTGTAATATATTTAGGTACAAATATTTCGGTACACTAGTCTAGTATAATATGTTTAGGTACAAACATTTTAGTACATTAGTTTAGTATAATATTGTAGACATCGAAATTTCGGTAAATAAATGTTTACCGATAAATCAAAGTTTCAACGCTCATGTATTACATAAATTTTACACGTAGCGTGTGTCTAAACAAAAAATCAAAATAAGTTAGAAAAGTCATCAAACAGGACACGTGTCAACACCTGGCAGAAACGACTTATTTCATCAGGAATATTATATTCAAAATTAGGCATTGGAAATTTCTATAAATAGAAGGCTAATTCATTCATTTAAAGGAACCAAAATCATTAGGCAAAATTCTTGAAGTTCTGAAGCTCTGAAACTCCGAAGCTCTCAAGCATCCAGGTTCCCGAAGAATCAAGAAAGCTCTCTTCGTTCTTCGTTCTTCGTTCATCGTTCTTCCAAGATCAACAATCATCCACCAATTCAAGATCAAGCCCCGACGGCCCTCGAAGAAAGTGTTCTTCGTTCTTCGTTCATCGTTCTTCCAAGATCAAGCCCCAACGGCCCTTTACACCAACAATCATCCACCAATTCAAGATCAAGCCCCGACGGCCCTCGAATAAAGTGTTCTTCGTTCTTCGTTCATCGTTCTTCCAAGATCAAGCCCCAACGGCCCTTTACACCAACAATCATCCACCAATTCAAGATCAAGCTCTGACGGCCCTTGGATCAACAAGCCACCGTTCTTCAAAGATCAAGCCCAAAAGCCCTTGAAGATCCGTTCATCACTGTTCTTCAAGATCAAGCCCAAAAGCCCTTGAAGATCCGCTCATCACCGTTATTCAAGATCAAGCCTCAACGGCCCTTGAAGAAACACTCATCCTCAAGATCAAGCCCCAACGGCTCCTTGAAGATTCGCTCAAATCCACCTTCAAAGATCAAGCCCACGGCCCTTGAAGAAACTTCCAACAGTTCATCCAAAATCAAGCCTCGACGGCCCTTGGATCAACGAAACATCCACAAATCAACACCTTACGGAGATCGAATCAGAGGATCAAAATAGAGAGAGATTGTAACCCAAAATCATCAAATACAAATATTATTTTGTGCACGTTGTTCTTGTCTCTTTCGTTTCAGGAAAATTTCGTGTTTACAAATATATTTAAGTACGGATATTTCGGTACACTAATTTAGTAAAATATATTATGATACAGACATTTAGATACACTAATTAGAAGATGTTAAATAAAATTAATGAATTAAAATGTGTATAATAATAAATTTAAAATTTAATGTAATGATATTAAATAAGATATCTATTAAATATTAAAACAAAAATATAATATGAATTTAAATTAAGTACACATTAAAGGACTAAAATCAATATCCAATATAACACCAGATTTTTATTCAATTTTAATTTTCTTCAATGATTAAAGTTTAAAACCCCCTTTATTTTATTTGAACTTTTTAGCTATGTGATTTAAATAATCGTGTAAACATGCATCATTTCCAAATTTTGTTAGAGTTAAAAATAACAAATTCTATATTCAAATTTCATTGTTTTTTTAAATTAACTAAACAAGAAAATTAACAAATTTTAAAATTCTACCATTTCAAGTTCTGTCATTTTAAAATTCCTTAGTAATTTTAAATCTCCTCGTCCAAACACAGTGTAAGCTCCCAACAGTTCCTTTCACGGTAGAAATGTATTTTGAAAAGATTCCGGCTGATCCAAGTATGTATGTATGTATGTATATATCTACACAAACACACGTGGTGACATTCAGATAAGAAGATGGGCAGAGAGGGAATGGGGAGAGAAGCTGGATCCAAAAAAAAGTACAAAAACATACTTTTTGTGTTTTTAATGAATAGTCTTTGCCACTTAGTATTACGGTGTAGTGACTTTGCCACTTGTAAATAAGAGATCTTAGATTTGATTCTCGCCAAATGCGAATTTGAACCACATTATTGCTAGCATATTGTGAGGCTAAACCTACCCCTTCTCTCTTTTTTAGTATAAATACCATCGTTTGTTAAAAAAAAAAAAAACAAACAAACAAATAAGCTTTGTTTTTTAGTTGAGTTTTTGAGAAGTGCCTGCCAAATAAGAATCTTGAACTTGTGACTCAACTTGTTTATGAGTTAAAAAAATAGAACTCAAATAGAATACTAAACAGGTCATAATTTGCTCAAAATGCTAATTTTCTTGGTTTGCTCTAAAGAGAGTTTCTCTACATAGATGGATTGTCCATCGCTTCATGAATTCTGTTTCAAGGATTAATCTCAAGCTTGACTCATTTGCACAATGAATATGAGCTGACAATAAGCCCAAGTAGAATTTTCTTTTGAGCAAGTTTTGTTAGCATTTTGTTGGTATGTTTTGACCAAGTCAACAGTCTCCACAATTTTCATTTGCACATCAACAGTCTCCACAATTTTTTTTGGTATGTTTTGACCAAGTCACACTTCAACAGTGCATCTATTGTTTGTGCAAGACTGACCAAATTTTTCTCTCCCAAGTCGATTCGGTCAACATCATCGAGCCCTAACAATAGATTAGGAACAAGGGATTCCACTTCATTTCGAGCAATGGCTATCGGATAAGATCCCTAATTCATGAACCTGGATGCCGGTTTCAAACATCGGATTCGCGCATGAGGTTGAATAGACTGATAAATGGCAATCTGTCTAATTTAGAACCACACCAAATTAAATAGGATTGAATAGGCACGAGGACAACACCTTCGCAAGTAGTATTGCTCAATGGCAGCTTAACCTTGCTTTCAGTATCTAATCAGTCGGCTTCTTGGAGAGAGAGTTAACAAGACAGGCAGGAAATGGGGTTGCAGAACGAGCGAGAGGCAGAAAAAACGCGTGAATAAAATTCATCCAAAATGACTAATTCGTAAAATCACATGCTGAAAATGAGTATGTTTGGTTAAGATTGACATTGTGAGTATTTTTTTTATTTATTAAGGTGGCCAATAGTGAGTACTTTTCTCAAAGGGAGGTGTTTTAGTTTCTCACGCAACCTTTTGATTTTTAGCCATAAGGTTAAATAAATCAAATGAAAACAATAATCAGAATTAAACAAGTGGGTAAGAAATTAAAAAAAATGAGTGTTTAGCATGTCCCGTTGGATTGTTTTGTTCACAACCACATAGTGAATACGAATACATACTAAAAACAGCTCCAGCGGTACCCATTGTCTTGCCAATTGGGTTAAACTGCTTCGGCCCAAAGTATCCAACTCCACGATCCGTAATTGCACAGGCAGGTGGTGAGAGCAAGCCAGGTCAACTGCCCGCCCAACAATTGATGGGCCTGAGCCTGCTGGCGATGGATGATGTTATGGGTGACATCAGCCTGCGTAAACAATAGGATACAAATTGAACATAATTTAAGTCGTATTCATAAAATAATTTCTTTTATAAAATGAGGCTTAAATAATTATTGTATATTAAAATATATAAATTATTTAATAATAACTAATACGTGAGGTCTCTTCATTTATAATTTAGAGGTCTTATGTTCGATTCTCGTCAAAAGTAAATTTTAATCATATTGTTGTCCGCGCATTGTGAGGTTAAACTCATACTATCGCTTGTTCAAAAAAATAAAAAATAAAAAAATTCAGTTCCTCTGGCAAAATCCTCCCATTTTTTGGGAAATGGATCCTCTCCGAATCCTTTATAATATCCACCTAGTTTGGGATCCGTACCGTTGAAATTGGATAAAACAGCTACAATTATTATAATTTTTAAAGATGCCATATGTTTGTAACCGTTAAATAAACGAGACGGAATTGGTGAAAAATGATCCGGATATCCCTTTCCCATTTTTTGCCATTCATTTTCTTTTTCGTTTGCCATGTAGATCCAGGTGACGCCCTACTTTATAATGAAGCTCCAACGGCTAGCGCCTTTCATTTTGAATTCTTCCAGACCGAAGTTCAAAAAGTATACAGAAAGCAAAAAAGAGAGAAGAAATCCCTAAATAAACCCCTCCTCTCGATTTCAGACCCCAAAATTCCCAAATCTCAAATCTCCACGCCCCGTGAATTCCAAATTCACCATTTCTAGGGTTTCAATTCGCACTCAGAGTGATTACCAGTACGCACTCTCTCATCCTCCTATCAAACCTTAGTGGAAGAAAAATCAGATTTTTTGTTGTTGCGATTTCTAGGGTTTTGGGGACTCTAGGTTTTTCTAAGATCGAGAAGGAAGAAAAAAAATGGATCTTCCGCGGGAAATTGACGACTATATCAAAGAATCGATCGACCACTCCTTGGGCCTCCCTGTGTCGACGCACACCCTCGAATTGAAGCTTCGATGCTCCGAAGAAGTGAAACGGCGGCTTCAGAATCAGTATTCACTACTCCTCTCGAAACTGAAGGAGAAAGAGCAAGTCCTGGAGCGCTATAAGGTTCATAATTTTACTCGTATAATTGTATCGATATATATATATATATATATATATATATATATATATATATATATATGTGTGTGTGTGTGTGTGTGTGTGTGTGTGTGTGTATTTATTTGTTTTTTGGGATTTTGATTGTTTTGTATATTAGGCCGAAGCGAGTATGAATGCACAAGCTTTGAGGAAGTTCGTTGAGGAGAATCAGAGATTGGCGTCGGAATGTGCGCATCTGGTGACTCAGTGCAACAAGTGGGAGAGAGAATGCTCGCTCTACGATCACGACAGAGAGGCTTTAATGGATTTTGGGAACGAGGCTGATCAGCGTGCCAAGGAGGCGGAGATTCGTGTTCAGGAGTTGGAGGACGAAGTCAGAGAGTTGAGTGATGAATT